TAAAACATTGAATTGATTCATTTTGTCAACAATCACTTCACCAACAGTTGTTTCGTTAACAAATGGTTCGAATTTAAGAAGTTGGAAGCAACCATTTGAAATAGTCTAATAAATTAAATCGTACTACTCGAAAATGTATTTAAAGGGTTGGTTTTCAACTTGGTTGAAGAATAACTCTCTTCCTAACTCTTCTCTTGACCATATCTCTCGATATAATCAATATAACGAATGTCAAAATGATCGTAAACGCGACCAATTTAAGATATACGATCAAGAGGAAACATGAACAATGTATGAAAAAATCAAACAAATTTATTTAATAAAATTCCATTGTTAACTATTAACAATCTAATTATATAGATCTTGACCGATCAAACCCGCCTATATAGTTATTGAATAATTGATAATAAAAAATACATTAATATGAGCAAACAAGCAATATTAGGACTAACGTTGGTTAACTAGTGAGTGTTAACAACAATCACTAATGTAATTTGCTTTAGTGAGTAAGCAAATATTTGGACTAATGTTGGTTAACTAGTGGGTGTTAATGAAGTAGTATTATTGTAATCGTAAATGTAAGGCCATTGAACAAGCTATTTGTGTTGTTTTGCAAGCAAGTTTGCAATCGGCCAATAAATGTAATCAAGGGTAAATGACTGAAATAAATCGATTGCAAGTGAATAAAAGAACTTTATAACATTGCAAAAAGGCCACCTTTATTTATTTACAGTTATCTGGTACCATCAAGTACGTTCACAGATTCATCTGGATGAATGAAAGAGGGAACCAAAGTAAATTTGTAAGCTAATTTTAATTGATAAGCACCGGATTATTGCAATTAACTGACAAGAGTAGCCCAAAAGTTAAGCCATGATTGTTAATTAACCAGAATGATACCTTGAAATATCACTATTTAACAAGAATCAAAAAAAACTGTAAAAAGTTTATTATTATAATTTAGCTTTAAGAAATAAAATAAAGATAAAATAAAAAGATAAATAATTATAATGAATAAATTTATAGTAGAGATTAAATTCATCAATTCTTCTTTTACTATTGTTACTAAAATTTAATTCATTAATTAATATTGTTAATAACAATTAATAGATAGTAATTTCCAATTGATTAATAATGAAAAATTTTATTCACCTTTTGTTAACATTCTAGAGAAAAGGGTTAAAACCAAGATCATTTAACAAACTATCATTACTTTTTAAGCTTTTAGATTTAGCAATCTCTTCATCTAATATTCTACTTGTATGATATGCATTTGGATGTGATTTGTGTGCTTGTTGCAAAGCACTACTACCACTACTAGTAGTATGATTACCATTATTATTTTTAATAATTTCTTCAAGTTTGTTTTCAGCAAAATCATAAAGCTCTCTACTAGTTGGTCTTTTTGATGGATCCACATCCCAACATCTCTGCATCATTTGCACATAATCATCAGGCATTTCAGATAATATTGGTGGTCGTAAACCTTCACATATATCAAAAATCAAACAATGATTGTGAGTTCTATTATCAAATGGTGGACAACCTGCAAATATTTCCCACATTAACATCCCAACACTATAGATATCTGATTCTTTGGTGTTCT